TGTGCCCGAAAAGAACATCGACGATCGGTGCAAAGTAAGTTGTAACAGTTCTGGCGATACAATCGTGCGGGGCAGTTCGACGACTGGGTGGGGCATTCTGCACTTTCGCTGCTTCACTAGTTCCGGTTTACAAGTCTCACTCTGGTGAAACCTGTGAACTCTTGTGAAGCTGGAGCAAGCTCGTCGAGCCATCATGGTAAAACCTGTCAACTCTTGTGAGCTCACGAATGGCTTCTAGATGGATCGACACGTCGTTGACAAGTAGGAAAGTGCAAAATGCCCCCCCCCCCCGTCGCCGAACTGCCCCCATTCGCGCATGAATTTCGTGCAATCGCAACCCTGATAACGATGAAACAGCTGTCCGCGTGTGATAATGATGAATTATTTCCTCCGCCATCAGCGTCAGTGATAGCTGTTCCTTACGTTGATGGGAAGTTGTTCGTTCCATCAGTAATGTCTTCTTATACCACTCGCCTCCTCTCAACTCCCCGCTTTCCCCCACTCAGTCAATATTTGCACAGATCTCTACTCAAGCTAGCTGCTTTTTTTCCATTGAACTTCTTTTTTGCTGGATTTGCAGACTTCGGCTCTCGCCACCACTCCATTTTTCGATCTTGTCTCTTTTATTTCTATTTTTACTACTTTTGTATGGTCTTTTTATCTTTCTCTCGTACGCTGTCCAACCAACCCCAGTGTCTATCGTGGAATTCCCTCTTCTTTTTTCACATACATATTTGGCACTTTTCAATTTCCTCCTCCTTTATTGGGAATGTCACCTTTCAAAAAAGTCTGATCAACATCGGAAGCTTTATACTTTTTAATCTTTTTTTTGTTCCAAGTTCCTTCCATATCCTTTTGCTCTGCTTTTCCTTCATTTTCTTCTTCTTCTTTTCTTTCCCTGAACCTTCTGCTCTGTTTATCCTTTATTATCCTCTTCTTTCCTTTTTCCTTTTCCTTCTGCCCTATTTATCCTTCATTTTCTAATTTCTCCCTTTTCCTTCTACTCCGTCCGTCCTTTGTCTCTACTTCTTTCCTTTCTCCCTTTTCCTTCTGCCGCTATTGTCCTTTTCACTCTCTTTCTTCCCTTTTCCTCCTGCTCCTTTTATCCTTTATTCTCTTCTTCTCTTATTCCTTTTCCTTTTGATCTGTTTAACCTTTGTACTAACCATC